AAGAGCGAGACCCCGTCTCTACTATAAATAGAAAGAAATTAATTGGCCAACTAAAATATATATATATAGAAAAAATTAGCCGGGCATGGTGGCACATGCCTGTAGTCCCAGCTACTCGGGAGGCTGAGGCAGGAGGATTGCTTGAGCCCAGGAGTTTGAGATTGCTGTGAGCGAGGCTGACGCCACGGCACTCACTCTAGCCTGGGCAACAAAGTGAGACTCTGTCTCAAAAAAAAAAAAAAACTTTAAATATAGAAAAGGTACAATAAAAATATGGTATTATAATTTTATAAGACTACCATCATACACATGGTCTGTTGTTGACTGAAACTTTGTTATGAAGCACATGACTGTAGCTGGTAGGAATCAAAGAGCACTACCTGTGTGGCACTTGGCACCCTGAGAGGTAACGTGCACACCAAATACAGCAGCTCCTTCAGATCTAAGCTCAGCTATTGTTTCCACAGAGTACCAGCACATGTACCTCTTCTTTGTATACTTAGTTATAATTTTATATTTTAGTGGTTATTTTATTAATATCTTCCTCCTCTTCCCCCCCTGCTGGACTATATTTTTCTTCCCAGTTTTTAAAGCTTTTCTGATTTCACTGCAACTCAGGAAATTTCCACTTTTACCTCCTAAATTCCAGTCCTATATCCTGCCTCTCCAGGTGCCCACCTTCCAGGTTCCTAGCTCCCATGTCTTACTTCCCCAGATCCCTCAGTTTTTCCAACACACTTATTGACCCCCTTCAATTTGCAATTCTAACCCACCTTTATTTTCCTTGATCTATTTTATTTCTCCCAAAGCTTTATTTCAAAACCTCTATTACTATTTACTATCCATAATACCTTTCTTTTTTATTCTTAACCCACAGTTCCATCTTTTTCTAATTATCTATTATTTTTCTAAAATAACAGGGATAATATATTATCCATTAATTCATGAATGCTGTAATTCTCACAGTTGCCAAAATTTTCATAGACTAGATAGAATATGGGGATGAGTCACTGGATTAATGTATTTATCCACATTCTCCAAGTATATTTAAGCATTTGGTATCTAAGACTACATTAGATCTTGAACAGAAGTCCAATAGATAAAAAAATAATAAAATAAACAGATTTTTCCTGAATCAATCAAAAGAAGGGGATCCAGAACTTCGCCTGCATGGCCTTCCCCTCTCCCCAAGGCAGTCTCTGAATACCCCAGAGACTACCCCAGGTACTGGGTAGTATAGTCTGGTACTAACCCCAGGGTTAGTACCAGACTATATTATTAGCTATTAAACAGTCTAAAGATATAATCACATTCTAGGATGAAGAAGCATAATTAACATACCATTTTAGATTATTATCCTCTATAAGACATATAAAATTAACTAGTTAGTATTGCTTTTAAAAATATAACTAATCTTTCCAAGTGCTTTTAAGTACATAATCTGTAGGATTTTCTTCTTTTTTCCTTAATACATTTAAACTTAAGGGTCTTTTTTCCTTAACTGCTCCTATTTTCTCTCTTTCTTGATAAAAAGATTTCTAAATATTCATAGGAAGAAATTATTTTATTTTCTACTTTTTATCACTTCCCCTAAATTCTCTATATATCAATCCTCTAATCCTCCCTCATATTAATCCTTCAAATACTTTCTCCTTTGTGCTGATCAGACAGCTTGCTTTGTAAGCAAGTAAAGATAATCCTAAAACATGTAGAGCTAACATATATTCTTTCTTGAGTTTCATATTTCTCTGCTTTACCTCTTTTCTAAGTCCAGAAGCAATTCCAGCAGACCAGACACTGGTAAGTACCAACCCAACATCCATTTCCACTTCTTCCTTGCCATAAGAGCCCTCATTTTATTCAGGCAGCAATATTAACCAGCTCCAACCAGACAACTCATCATGATTGTTATAATGATCTTTCCCCTCACTTTTCCATTCTCCTTTACATATGGAGGTGGCTCAGTGAGAAATCTGCAGGATTTCAGGGGATGAAAATGAAATCTGTAGATGGGAGGAGGCCAATATTCTGGAAAAAGTATACTTTCCTGATAAAAGATATAGCTGGCCCTTTTTCCTTCCCACTGACTTCAGCACAGATTGGATATGATATCTAAAAACATACCAGCCCTGGGTCTCTCTGTCATCACTGAGCAGCTGAACCAGTGCCATCAACCACCTAGTCGGGTCTTATTATGTGAGAAAAATAAAGCTCTTTTTATTTTGGGTGTTCAGTTACTTGCAGCAGAATGATTTCCTAACTGACTGACAAACCTTCCCTGATAATTCCAAATAGGAATCAAGCAATCCTGTAACAACAGAACAAATGAAATGTGATTACACATTATAGAGCCAACTCCAATCTATGACTCGTCATGACAAACTCTAAAAGGTAGTGTAAGAATGTCAAATCTGGCGTCTATACCAAAGAGCACTGGAATTTTTTATTCGACCTGACCCCATCACCAGACCTTAAAATCCATTCCACATGGGAGGCAGATGACCACACTTTTTAAGCCTTATGGAGAATGGAATAAAAAGCTAAAAGCAATATAAATTTCAATTGCTACTTTGAAATGACCTTCATAAGAGCTTACGAATTATGCAAAATATTCCAACAAAAGGGCTAAAATTTTACCTCTTCATATTCCAACCTGCCTCTGATGAAAGTATTAACATGTGCATAGGCAGAAAAAGAGATGAAGGAGAAGTAAGTAAACATGCAGGATCCAAAAAGTGAATACGGCTTATATGCAAAGACAAAGAAACAAAAATCTCCACAAATTAATTTGGACAATCCAGAATACAGGTCACCTATTACTGTGTTTATGCTGATATCACCCAATTTACTGATATGGTTTTTAACCTGCTCTGAACTTTAATACTAGTAATAGTGGAATCATGCAGCAGTTTACTCCTTAAGAAGACATCCTAAACTCAGTTTTGCATGTGATGCACAGAAAGCAGGAATCCAATTACAGTAAATTGAACTGCTGTTATCTTAAAGAATAATCTTAATTCTTGAATTCTTTAACCAAATTCCCCAGGACCTTTGTAAGAGCTACTTATACATTAGCTATCTAGGAGCTAATTGGCTATTTAATACCTATTTGCTTTGTCAGTTGAAGGCTAGTCATTGGCATTTAAGTACTTTTCACTTGAACAATTTGAACCACTATCTTTAAGAGCTTCAGTATCAAATATATGAATATTTCCATGTTTACATTTCCTTGGTCTCACATGTTTATGCTTCTATGTGTTTTTTAACTATTTATTTAAGTCAAGATCTAAATAAGTTCATCACATTGCAATTGATCTACATCTTTTAAATCTGTTTCAATCCAAAGTCTCCTCCTCTAACTCTTTTTTAATCTTACAATTTATTTGTTAAAGAAACCAGGATGTTCTGCTGATCGCATCCCTCTAGAGTACTGTGTTGTGTTCTCTATATATGTTGCAGACTGGTAGTTGAATCTGAAGACTTGATCACATTCAAGCTTGATTGTTCTTCCATCTGGAAGTATCCCAATGACTAGTTGTCTTTTTGTGATGTTCAATCCCTAGATCCATTAGATTGTTAGTGTTTGTAACTTGGTGATATTCTATCATTCCTTCTTCATTTATTACTGGAATACATTTATATAAAGACCTAGTTGTTACTCAGTAATATAGTTCATGTAGAAAAAGAATACATGCTTGGATTTTTATTTTTTTACACATTTTCAAAATAATGAGTTGCTTCTTCAGAATCCTTCAATGGAAATCAATTAGTTCCCTTTCATCTGTTACTATAATTATAGACTCATGGATTTAAAATATTTCATGTTTTAATCCACTGCCATTATTATTCTTATTGATGCTCAATTTGTTTCATCTTTGGCCAGTGGGAGCCCCTTGTGAGTCTTTTGGACACTCCCCTCAAGAGTCTTTAATTGCTTTCTTACTATCCAATATGTTTCAGACTCAAGTTAAAAATTTCCTACTCCAGAACTAGAATCAGTCATTTCCCCAAGGAATCCTCATTCCTTTTATTAAGAAATGGTATCTGGATTTTAGCATCTGAAGTAACACTTGCCAATTCATTTATTTATGAACATTTTCTGAGCAGTTAATATGTATCAGTCACTGGTTTGGCTTTGAAGATACAAAGATATAACACAAACTCAAAGAGCTGACAGTGGCATATACTCAGAAAGAATAGATAACCAAGAGATATAGAGCAAGGCAAGTAATAAGCTCTAGGCAAAATAATCTATCTGAAATTCATCTGGTCAAGTAATATACTTTGATTTCTCTCTTTAGAGAGAAATAAGGGAGAGATCTGATTCATAGTGACATAGTTAGAGAAAGCCTTAAAGGACTATACCTATATTATACCTTAAGGACAGAACTGACTCAATCTTCAGATGTATAAACACCCCTGCTTATGAGTATCCACTCACTAATATTTTACTTCCAGCTAGAAATTATACACAGTCCCTGACTTACAATGGTTCAACTTATAATTTTTTGACTTTACAATGAGGTTATTGGCAGTATTAAATGAATTTTTGACTTAAGATATTTTTTACTTACAATGAGTTTATCAGCATGTAGCCCCATTGTAAGTAGAAGAGCATCTATATTTACAAAGCAGCTTACCTGCCATTTTTCCTATTAGTTTTCCCTCTTCCCCATTTTCTACTTAAATTCTTCCCTATTTTCTCAACTTCTTTCTTCCTGACTTTCTGCAAAACACAGCTTATCCAGGATTTCCACTTATACCAGTAAGAAAGGAATAGAAAAGACAAAAAGTTCCTTCAAAAGTGAAGAAATTTTTTAAAAAAGAAACAAACTGCTTCCTTTGTCAATTTTAAAAGAAAAATTCCTTTAAAAGAGTATCTAGCATTCTGTGTTCTAAAAAAAAAACAAAGGTAAATGTTTAACTATTTGTAAACGTTCCATGCTGTATATAAATCATAAAAGTAAAACATTATAATGGAATATAATAAAATCTTCTACCTTTCAGCACTAAATGCTGATTCTGTGTCAATGTATACAACATCTCCTTCTAATCCTCCCATGTTGGTGGGTAATGTAGCCAAAATGCTCATCATCATACAAAACTGAGTTTTTCCACAACCTGGTGGACCTGTAATCTAAAAAAAAAAAAGTTATTTGTATAAACATCTCACACCAATCAAAGCAAAATCCTTTTATGAGCTTGCCACATATGCAGTCCAACTAACCTGAGCTCCTCGGAAAGAATTAGGTCCCAAAGCTCTAAGACATTCATTGTAAGTAATTAACTTCTTCCCTGTGCATATGGATTGGTATCAATTATGTACTATCCTTGGAGAAATTGATAAAATAGTCACTCAAATCATCCTCTTATTTTGTAGCTCAAAAGAGAAACTTTGGTTGAGAAAAGCTGGAAGTTCCATTCACTTATACATTCAAAACTTGGAGTTCTATACCTTTTCCTCATTAAGACATTTATAGTAGGACTCTGAAAATATTCAAAAGTCTTTAATAAATGGTTTAGCATTTTGTTGTAAATTGGCCTTTCAAAATAACATTGTATCAGTCCCATTAGGGGCTATTTTGATTTTTATTCTTAAGAGTAAAATATTTTTTAAAAAATAATAAAATATTTATGGGTGAAGGGTTTGATATATACAATTACTTTCAAATGGCTCAGAAAAAAATGTGTGTATATTTGTGTGTGTGGAAAGAGAAATAAAGTAAATAAAACAAAATTCAACAATTGTTGAGTCTAGGTGATTCATACTTTGAAATATATATTTTGAAATTTTAGTTGGCAGAAAGCTATTCTGAGATTACAAAATTCAAAATCAAGAGAGTATAGACAGGAAAGAATAGGAAATTAATCACATGCATATTCAAGTCTAACTGGAAATAGTTAACAAAATTAATTTTAAAATGTTAAAAAATCTCCTTTAAATATATGCTATTTGTCACATTACCTGTGGCACCCAATTTTATGAACCAAGGCACTATCCCTTTTGTAAAAATAACACTAATGAACAGTTTTTCACAATAGGAGGAAGGGAAAACAGGAAGGAAGAAAAAAAAAATCTCAGATTGAGAAGAAAAAATGTCTAAGCTAAAACTGAGACATACTATAGACCTAAAGAAATTATCTCAGACATATTATGAAGTAGGAAGAAATAAAAAGGGATGATCCATGAATCTAAGTCATTTAGATCAATGGTTCTCAAACTCCAGTGAGCATTAAAATCACCCGGTAAGCTTGTTAACCAGCATTTCTGATTCCATAGGTCTGGGATGCAAACTAAGAATTTATATTTCTAATGAGTTCCAGGTGATGCTGATGCTGCTCTATACTTTGAGAACCCCTGTTTTAGAATTGAGACCAAAAGTAAACTTCAATTATCAAGGCTCAATCTTAAAAAACAAATGCTCACATGTTAGAAACTATGTGCTGATTTATAATCTCTGAAATGATGATTTATACTTTAAGGATAATTACTGCTATCAATAATAGTATGCCAGATTATGAGGTATGAGTAATAAGAGTTCTCCAAATTTCTGTGATCACATAATCCAACCAACCAATGAAACCAAACAAAAAAAATTTAATACGGTCCTCCAATATATTCATATTTATTATACACAAACTATTTTACTAATATGTTCTATATAGTATAAAACACACAAAATAGCAATTAAAAATGAATAAGACTACAAACTTTAAAATAGTTTCATATTTATTACTCATACAAAAGATCTTTTCACTCTCCTGAAAACATCATTTTTAGTGGAACAATGATAATAAAAATAATTTTTTTATTTGTATTTTTTTATTGTCCTCAAGGTATAGGGTTTAAAAAATTGTATTTTTTTAAATAATGATTTAAATATTTTGTAATTCAGTGATTGAAATGTCAAGTCCTAAGTTCGGCTTATTTCAGTACTTAATTATAATGGCTGAATAGCTGAGAAAGGATAATTGCAAAGATGTGAGGACTGAAATTAAAGAAATACTTCATTTATTGGACTTAACTAAATCACTATGTTCATTTTTAAATATCTTCCATTAATTATGCAAAATTTTTTGTTGTATTTTGGCTAATAAATTTCCATCTTGTCTCATGTCAATTAATTGTTCTTACACACTAATCTAAAGATGTTGCATTTCAAAAAGTGGTTTTAAACCAGTGAATTTTTAACAAGTGGTTTAAAAATCTACTGAGACTCTCTTTTTTTAAATTACATTTATTTATTTTTACTGAAGCATAACAATCTTTCAGAAAAGTACACAAATCATATACGAACAGTTTGATGAATTTCTATGAAGATATTCATGTGTTACCTGATATGTGGCAGGGTTTTTCTGTTTCATTTTACTATTTTTTTAAATTGATAAGTAATAATTATATATATTCATAGGGTACAATGTGATATTTTGATGTATGTATACAGTACATTGTGGAATGATTAAATCAAGCTAATTAATATATCTATCACACCTCACATACTCATCATTTTTATCGTGAAAACATTTAAAATCTACTCTTTTAGCAATTTTGAAATATACAGCACATTATTAACTATAGTAATCAAGCTGTACAATCAACCATTAAAATTTATGCCTCCTGTCTAACTGAAACTTTGTATCCTTTCAACATCTCCCCTTTCCCCATCCCCTAACCCCATTGACTGAAACTTTTTATCCTAAAGATTTTTTCAGAGTATACAAAATATTGTTCCAAATTTGTTTAATTTTTTAAAGATGGGGCCTTGCTATGTTGCTCAGGCTGAAACACAGTGGCTATTCACAGGCACAATCATAGAACGCCACAAACTTGAACTCCTGGGCTCAAGCAATCCTCTTGCCTCCGCTTGAGAAGCTGGAACTACAGATGCACACCACTGTGCCTGGTTCCAAGTTTTAAGAGTGTAGATAGAAAAGTTTTCATAAGACACACATATCTTTGACAACAAAAATCACATGATAAAAGAAATATTTCCAAACAGTGATTTTAGAAACACTCTGTTTTTATCTTAGCCTTTAAAAAAGCTGTTACTCTCTCAGTCATTGTTAAATCACCTTTACTTTGAAGAAATAGAGTAAGAGTGTTCTATTGATTGATTGGTTGGTTGATTTTAATTCTGCAATGTAGCATATTACATAGCCACTTGTCATACAAAAAGGATCAGCAAATTTGATATATCTTGTCTTTTCATTTTAAAAAATGCTTCACCCATCTTTTAAGTTCAACAACTCTTTTATAATCTTTGCTGTGAGATAACCAGAGCAGCTCTGTGATTTAAATGATTTTCATGGTTACTCATCATCTCATTACAGAGCACCTAGAGATTCTATACTTTAATGGTCATTTTATAAAAATTAACATTAATAACATCCTAAAGTACTCTTTGCACATCTGACATCAACTTCTGTGTTATAATAGATTGCCTAAGGATGATGAAACAGAAAAGTTGAAAGAATTTTACAAGGACCATCCATATATCCATTACCAAGGCTCTGATTTATAACTTTTATTATATTTATTATATTATACAATTACTATATCATATTATATGATTGATCCATTCACCAATCCATCTTAGGCTTTTTTATGCATTTCAAAGTAAGTCAAAGTACTTTCCCCTGACAATTCAATATGCATATCATTAACCAAAAAAGAACCATACACATGATTCTTTTTTATTTTGAAGTAAATTTTACATACAATGAAATACATAAATCATTAAGTCCACTATTTCATAAATTCCAACAAATGCATACACATACGCAAACTAAACTCCTAAAAAGTTAAAACATTACCATTATTCCATGAAATTCCTTCATATACTAATCATTGTTTTATATTCACAAAGTCATTTATTTTTTGAGAATATATCTTCCCTAATACAGATTTTAATGGCACAGAAAAATGAATTCTTTGTGCATTTTAGTATTGAAACAAAACATAGCTACGATAATTAGGCCATGTTAGAAATATCTGTGCTTTAAATACAGCATCCTCCCACATCTAATAATTAGTTTTAATTCTTGATGCTTCAAATCATCTTCAATGAGTCCGGCACAGTGGCTTAGCCCTGTAATCCTAGCACTCTGGGAGGCCGAGGCAGGAGGATCACTCAAGGTCAGGAGTTTGAGACCAGCCTGAGCAAGAGCAAGACCCCATCTCTACTAGAAATAGAAAGAAATTAACTGGCCAACTAAAAATATATATAGAAAAAAATTAGCTAGGCATAGTGGCGCATGCCTGTAACCGTGTTTCCCCGAAAGTAAGACCTACCCATAAAATACACCCTAGCAGGATTTCTAAGTATTTGCGCAATATAAGCCCTACTGCGAAAATAAGACCTAGTGATGGGTGTGGCTACAAAGAGTATCTGCACAACCCATGCATTTCCTGGCTAAGTGGTAAAGATGAGCAGCCCTTCTCATCTGCCCCATGAGAGCTCTATTGCTCCACATGAGAGACTGGGGCCAATGGTTCTAAAGGAAATAGAGTCGTAAGAAATTCAGGATGGAATTAGGGGTTTGGAGAGTTATGATGATGTTCCAGAAGATGAGGACTTAACTATATATGAATAAATGTAGATTGTTGTACTGTACTTAAAAAAAATAACACAACCCCTGAAAATAAGCCCTTGGGTGTCTTCTTAAGGAAAAATAAATATAAGACCCTGTCTTATTTTCGGGGAAACACAGTAGTCCCTGCTACTCGGGAGGCTGAGCCAGGAGGATCGCTTGAGCCCAGGAGTTTGAGATTGCTGTGAGCTAGGCTAATGCCATGGCACTCACTCTAGCTTAGGCAAGAAAGCGAGACTCTGTCTCAAAAAAAAAAAAAAAAAAAAAAAAACCAGCCTGAGCAAGAGCGAGACTCCATCTCTACTAAAAATAAAAAGAAATTAATTGGCCAACTAAAAATATATAGAAAAAATTAGCCAGGCATGGTGGCGCATGCCTGTAGTCCCAGCTACTCAGGAGGCCGAGGCAGCAGGATCGCTTGAGCCCAGGAGTTTGAGGTTGCTGTGAGCTAGGCTGACACCACAGCACTCTAGCCCAGGCGACAGAGTGAGACTCTGTCTCAAAAAAAAAAAGATGATATATGTGAAAATATTCAGTAAAGTATCA